AGATGGAGCTTCGTAAAAATGCCAGTAAAAATGGCTTCATAACTGTAGCGTATGTAGCGTATGTATAGCGTGTGGTGTGCGTCTGTCTGTCTGTCTCACCGGCCGTCTGTTTATACATATGGTAGCTATTTGCATAACCACACAGTTTAAACTGTAATAGACAGAGAATTGAACATAATGGTACGTTCCTGCTATGTTATAACCAACCCAACTTATATCTAATCTCACTTGACCGGAAAACCGACGTCAAATAAACATCTGTTTTACATTAAGGATAATAATAATAATAAGTCATCTTCTATAGCGCACAGTCTCCAAACACCAAGTGAAAGCTCGCGGCGCTTAATCAGAATGTGATTAGTATTACCCCGGATTACCCAAGCTGCCTGTTAGGCGCTAGAATGTTATAGTCACATGACTTTACCAAACTGGGTACCCATTTTCTGCTGGGTGAACAGAGGCAATTTTGAACAAACTCACTTGCCTAAGGTGAGACCACATGTATCACATGTGCTTGGTTGTGGGGCAGGACTGAAGTCCTAGAAACCCTCATTCATATAAGCATTGGATTTAATATCAAAAGACATCTCCATCGAAAAGAGATTTTAAGTTTTAATGATATTTTACAAAGCATACCATACCAAAGCATACCATTCCGATTTTTGAAGCCCTCAGATGTCGTATAGGTGACTTTAAGGTGAAAGCCTAATCCACTTATACATCCCAACTGTATTCTGTCATCTTTCAGAACACAATTACCGGCATAATTCTCTCAGCAAATACTGACCTCTCGCACGTTGGTGTATGTGAGCATTACCCAAGCAGATGTTCTGGTTGTACAGACGCTTTGTTCCTAATAACTCAATTTGAGATGCACAATGACATGAGAAAACCGCTTTTATTAATTACTTCATGAATCAAACGACAGGTGTTAGCGGACTAACTTTGTCTATTCACCAACAGTTAAAAGAAAAAGGTTGATTACAGTGGAACGTTTTTTTACGCTACCGTCCATCGATCGGAGGTCACGAGCCTATTGTTTGTTGGTGTTTCCTTCAAGACTGGTCACTTTGTTCTGCATTTAAAAAAATGTAACTAAATGTAACCATATGTAAGGTGACAACAATCCAGAATTCAGCTGAAAGTCCAACAATTCAAATAAGAACAGTCACCATATATATATTGGCATTTCATGTTTGGGAGAGGGGGTAGTCTCGTGGTTAAAGCATTCGCTCGTCACGCCAAAGACCCAGGTTTGATTCCTGGCGTGGGTACAGTATGTAAAGCCCATTTCTGGTGTCCCCCGCCATGATATTGGGGTAATAGTGGTGAAAGCGGTGTAAGCATTACTCACTTACTCACTCACTCATGTTTGGGCGCCTACACTGTGTGGTTGTAGCGATCACTGACATACGTAATGAAAAGTCTGAGTCAAGAACTAAGCGTACTCACTCACAGGTAAGAGGTTACACAGTAGCTTTGAAACTGAACAAAATAGGGAGATGTATATACTTTGCCTGTCGGTGATAGAAAGGAGTTCAAAATGAAATCAAGTGACCGTTGCCTCTGGCACACTGTCGATACGGCAACAGTTGATGAGGCTTGGTAGGGCCTCTATCAGTGCTTCCCTCTCATCACTGTACAAATCCATTCATGTCTGTTGAACTGCAAGATAAACGGTGTCAATTCATCTTAAGGTCTCAAGTAACGTCTTTCATTGAGACAAATGGTTCGCGTTTCCTTTCACAATCTGTTATCGCTGGAATCGCCTCCCCACAATTTAACAAATGAAGACATTATCTCACGAATCTTAAGTTAAACAGCATGGCGAGTCACGGTATCGATAATTTCTTTCTTTACGATTGTTCGATTCCGACCATACAATAAGAATGCGTTATTGAATCACTGTGAAATAGTCACGATACTACTTGTTAGCACAAAAGTGAGTTCATCTGCCTTAAAGGTGTTATTGTCACAAACGCATGCAGTGGCATGTCAAGTGTCCACGCTGAACACCTGAATATGTGGTTTCTGTCAAGGAATCAGAATTGCGAATGGACGAAGCCCGTTTTGGCAGTCCTGAAGCAGTATCCGCGATATCACTAGATATGGCTTTCTAAGGAACTGAACCCTCATTCTTTGATATATCAAACGCACTAACCATAGTGATAACCATCACCTAAAACAATCACGGGTTTATTATACAGATGCACAAGACGAATGTCTTGTACAATAGCATCGCAGTATCGATATGTTCATACAGGATCTTTGCTGGATTTACAGACTTGCGTCCCTTGAGCGTGTAAGGATCAAACGATGGGTTCATTTTCATTGGGATACATAATTGCCAGCCCCATATCAGTAGTGGTGGGTTTCACCCAAGTAGTAAACGTCTAAGATCGGTATTACTCCGGGCTTTTCTCCCATATAAAACTGACACGCTGTGATATAACTTGAAAACTGTTCTTAATCTCCCACTTTCATTCACTTAAACTCCATGCTCATTTCCTACACTTTAATTCTTCTGAGATTACATTAAAATTGCAGGTTTGCCGAAGCTAACACTATGAGTTGTGGAAATAAAAGCAGTAAATGGAAATGTCAACATTTGTCAGTCTGATATCACAGCGTGTTTTGCATTGTTTTCAATGATTTCGACTGTAATCGCCAAGTAGCTCTACAGCCATCATTGAGGTGAGAGCTTCCAGCTCAAGGGCAGGCATCATCTCATTTCCTTCTGCTGCAACGAGCGGCTGTCAGTCGGAAGGCGAGCTGTAGCACTACAAGTATTAACAAACACAAGCACTCAACAATGTTATAATGATTTTTTTTGCAATGAAACATCGTAACAAGCTGGAAAAAGTAACAGCTGAAAATAAGATAATTATTGAATAAGGAGGTTTCGGAGGCGATAGCGGAAACTCGGAGAAGTGAATGTTCAGTAGCAAATGAAATGTATGATCTCATTGTATTTCCTTAGAGTCGCTTTCTGAATAATCACAATTAAACCCATTCCATCTGCACGATATTGCTTTGAATTGTCCAGCTTAATAATTAAAAATACCCAAAATATTTTTCAATAGAAATCCAAGCCACCTTCCCACTCAACGCACAGGATTATCACATGACCGGCCAAGGCCTTCTATACTGCAAACCGTTACATAAGGACTATTGAGTGACTAACACTTCACATGAATCCACCTGAGAAACTAACACGTTACCTGAGGACTATTGAGTGGCAAACATTTCACATAAATCCACCTGAGAAACTAACACGTTACCTGAGGACTAATGAGTGGCTAACATTTCACATAAATCCACCTGAGAAACTAACACGTTACCTGAGGACTATTGAGTGGCTAACATTTCACATAAATCCACCTGAGAAACTAACACGTTACCTGAGGACTATTGAGTGGCTAACATTTCACATAAATCCACCTGAGAAACTAACACGTTTCCTGGGAACTATTGACTGACTGACTGAGTTTTGGTTTTACGCCGCTTTTAGCAATATTCCAGCGACATCACGGCGGGGGACACCAGAAATGGGCTTCACACATTGTACCCATGTGGGGATTCGAACCCGGGTCTTCGGCGTGACGAGCCAACGCTTTAACCACTAGGCTACCCCACCGCCCCGGGAACTATTGAGTGACTAACACTTCATATAAGCGCACCTGAGAAACTAACACGATACCTGAGGATTATTGAGTGACTACCACTTAAGATAAATCCAGCTTAGCAAATAACACTGTACATGATGACTATTGAGTGGCTAAAACTTAACATGAATCCACCTGAGAAACTAATACGTTACATGACTATTGATTGGCTAAACATAACGTGAATCCACCTGAGAAACTAACACGTTACCTGAGGACTAATGAGTGGCTAAACTTAACGTGAATCCACCTGAGAAACTAACACGTTACATGATGACTATTGAGTGGCTACACTTAACGTGAATCCACCTGAGAAACTAACACGTTTCCTGAGGACTAATGAGTGGCTAACACTTCACATAAATCCACCTGAGAAACTAAACACGTTACATAAGGAGGACTATTGAGTGGACTAAAACTTCACATGAATCCACCTGAGAAACTAAACACGTTACCTGAGGACTATTGAGTGGCTAACATTTCACATAAATCCACCTGAGAAAAACTAACACGTTACCTCCACCTGAGAACTATTGAGACTGATTAACACTTCACATATAAGCCCTCCTGAGAAACTAAACACGTTACCTGAGGACTATTGAGGACTAACATTTCACATAAATCCACCTGAAATTGAGTAATCCACCGAAACTAACACGTTACATGAGGACTATTGAGTGACTACCACTTAAGATAAATCCGGCTTAGAAACTAACACGTTACCTGAGGACTATTGAGTGGCTAAAACTTAACATGAAACCAGCTGAGAAACTAACACGTTACCTGAGGACTATTGAGTGGCTAAAACTTAACATGAATCAACCTGAGAAACTAACACGTTACCTGAAGACGAATGTGCGCTAATGTATAGAAAGAATTACATAATACTGACTCGAATGACCAGTCGTTGGATCTGTGTGAAAATGTTTTGGACAATAATAAAAAGAGCTCCTTCGAAACTGGGACAAAATCATTAAAAGCTTGTTGGTTAATGGGTATCAATGTGGACAGGGATCGGTTGAAAATAGTGCCAGTTTAATGTCTTCAGGTCAGGTCTTGAGGCTCAGAACATATCAACCACTCCTTGCAGCATGATACTTTTCTCTGTTGAGAGTTACATTATTTTGCAGTCACGAATATCACATGAGCAGCAAACCGCACACCCTTTCGAACCTCTATTTTGGTGGTTTGCCATCTGAAGGACCTTTTGGACAGCCAAGTGTGTCGTCAATAATTTCTTTTCACAGCAAAAGCTTTAGTTTCATATCATTTGTAGGTAGGATATTTTTGCATTGCATTACCTCAAACTCTATCAGCATCTTTCTCTCTTTCCAGCTGCAGAAGGAACCGCCCCACCAACTTGTGAACATGGATATATATCAACACACCTGGTCCCAGCTGGGACTGTGTATCATGCTACAACTTTTATACCTAGAAATATCCACGGTGACGTGCTTTGCATGGCATAGTCCCAGCCAGACCCGTTCACAGACTGCCCCTGCCGAAAGCCATCTTGTGTCACAAAGGTGGCATCAGTCAGTCCCTAAATGGTACCCTTACAATATTTGGAAGCGACGGAAGCGGAAGGAGGGAGAAGGACATCACGTGACAATGGATATTTCTAATGTACTTGACAGAAGCAGGAATTTGTTTAGCGGGAAAAGGAGTGCCTATGTGTCTAAATACCGCAAACTGCTGGAAAAGTATAATAAGAAAAAGCAGATGAACACAATATTAAGCAACAGTATTTGGAAACCTAACGTCCCGTCTGCAATGTACGCTTCGTCGTCAGTGAATGCCATGGGCAACAGGCTGTTATCCTCCGCTGAGACGTTCAGACAAGGAAATACGTTACAGTCCCGGAAACACAAGTCTCATTTCGGGAATATTGGTTCCGTACAAGATTCGTTCGGAATGGTTCACACACCAAAGAAACCATCCACCTCTCAAAAGAAAAAGGTCGAGGAATTAAAATCCGGATTCGACAACGTCGGATTTGGAACGATAACTCAGGATGGATTTGATTTACAACCAGCGGATGGATTTTCAGATGGTTTTTTACCCACGAGTCATACGGGATCCCAAACTCTTAAACACGAGGCTGACACAGCAGCCAAGACATCGACTGGGTTTGGGACAGGCTCCTTCTCTTCTGACTCCGGATCCTTGGCGGACACTGCCTGGTCTGACTCTGGGAGCTGGGGAGGTGATGGGTTCGGCGCTGTTGTTGGGTCTTCGGCGGCCCAACCGTCATCCGGGACTTGGGGAGAAGCAGCTGCTGGCACCGCCGGATTCGGGACGATAGGAGGTGGCTCATTCTCAGACGAGACGGTATGTAGCACATTCATATATCTGTGTGACTATACGTTATATAACAGAAAGATAATTATGCACATTCTTTTTACCGATGGTGACATTCCTGGTGAGACTAGGTTCTTACCAAGCTATGATGGTCGTGCGTAGCGTCAAGATTGGTCGGGTGTTAAGGCTGAGTGAAAAATACCGTGTACACGTACCCCTCCGGGTGGATCGTTGTTCTTAATATCAATCACAGGAATGCCCCGTCTAGACTCGAAATTTACAGGCGACCTACATTTACAGGATAGTTGCATTACAAATTAAAATGAAATAGATGTATAAATTATTAGAAACAGGATGTAAAGATGTGCGGAAGAACAACTATCGAGTTCAAATGAAGTATGAATGGCGAAGTGACGACCTTGTTACTGGAGCTCTCAATGGCACGGTAGAACATGTGAGTAGGTATAGAACTAGTTGTGAGATGGTGTTATGGATGACTGGGGATATCAATATACCTACGACCTTGTTTACCAAACCTTAGCCTTGTGGACTTGATTCGAACCACAGAATCTGGATATGCAGGGAACTTAACCCCATTTTGGAACAATATATGAGAGAGGATAGGCATTCGTCCGTTAGCACCAAGTTTCGCTGTCGTTCAATGATCATGTGGGATATATACATATCTCTAAAACTCAAAACCGCTCGTTATGTTATAAGTACAACATCACTGGACACCTATATTATCCGTCTGCCACAGGTTTAAAATATTGGATAAGTTGTGTTGGAGACAACAGTTAAATAATACTTAATTACGCCCGAACTGTGAACTGAGTTTGTTACAAAGACCTTCACTTCCTAGCCTAATAGGACCCGGGTCTTATTGGCCAGTAATTGAATTGTCTGGGGAAAATGTTAATGTGTAGTTAACGCTCTAATCAATACCGCACGGAACACATGTACCCTGTCTAAAGGGCCAACGATTGACAACGGGAGAAGTTACAGAGCAAAATAAGGCCAATCATGCCTTGTTCGTTCTATTTCTGTACTCCTTCGATTGAAATTAATGGTTCCGCTAATTCAAAATCCAGGCTTATCAGAGACTCAGCAATGAACCACAAGACACTGGAATAGGTAAACAGGCGTCCCCCACCTAAATTAGGGACAAGGGTAATTAGAGGCATCGATCTTCACGGTTGACATGTGACAAAACTGCAGAAGTGGTACTTCTATCGAGTACCACTCTATTAGTACTTCTGTGTTGTGGTGAAGTTTCTCCTGTAGACATACTTCTGTGCGGTACTGTAGTCTCTCTTGTAGACATACTTGTGTGTGGTAGTGGAGTCTCCTGTAGACATACTTGTATAATAATAATAATCTTTATTTGCACTGAGAAGGCCACAGGCCTATAGTACATAAAGTTACGTTACATTTGAGAGGAATTTAGATCGGGTAATCATAGCATAGTAAATGAACATTGAAATATTTTGTAGAAGAACTGGATTTTTACTACTTAACAGTAAGGAGAATTTTATCACATTTGGTTGGACATAGTAATATCTTTTAATATATTTTGTTCGCAAACGGTCCTCAAATGGACATATTAGGAGAAAATGTAATTCATCTTCTATTTCGTTAAAATTATAAAGTGTACATATTCTATTTTCTCTTTTTACATTCATATATCTGCCTCTTTCAATCAACAAATCATAAGAAGAGCATCTGAATCGTGCCAGTGCTATTCTAAACTTTTTAACATTAACACAGGATAAATATGACTCAAGAACTATGGCATTTTTAAACAATGCATAATACATGCATTTATTTGATAAGGATATCCTTTCACACCATGTTTGAATATACATATCTTTTAGTCTTGTCGTTAAGGATTGTATGAATAACGTAGGCGATTCGACATATTGTGTATTCCATGTAACTCCCAAACCAATAGAATATAATAAGTTTTTTACATTGGTTGCCCAGTTTTTTTGTCTACCTTTATCATATAACCACATCATATTATAACACTTCTTCGGTAAGCGATTTGAAGGCAAAATCAACAGTTTTAGCCAGTACTTAATAACTTTAATGCTTGTAAGAATGTGCATTGGGTACCTACCGCATTCACCATAAATAACTGCGTTAATAGTGTTAATTCTAACTCCGAGGAAATTTTTGCATGCGTATAAATGGATTTTTTCAATTTCGTCAAATTTTGTTATTCCCCAAATTTCGGCCCCATATGATAAAATTGGACTGACTTTGGCATCAAACATTTTAAAGAATGAAGAGTAGTTAATATTACCAAGTACACTCAACTGTTTCATAATTCCAATTAATGCTTTTTGTCCCTGTAACGCTGCATATTTTACATGCCTCGTCCATGACAGGCCACTGGTGAAATATAGTCCCAAATATTTATAAAAGCCAATACACTCCAGCTTCATACCTTGATATAACCGGTTTTCCTTTTTTTGACAATTTGTCTCCATTTTTGAATACAACAATTTTCGGGGTTTTTTCTGTATTTACAGTTAATTTCCATTTATCGCAGTAACTTTTAAGTTCATTAATTTGATTCTGTAAGCCATTTATCGTGTTTGAGAACAAAACAATGTCATCTGCAAATATCAATAGGAAAATCTGAACTATATCAGGGTGGAGTTGAATCCTGTGTCCACAATTAGTTTTGATTTGTCGTGCTACCTCATTTATAAAAAAGGAAAATAGAAATGGGCTTAGTATACAGCCTTGTCTCACACCAAGTTGCAAGTCGAATGTTTCTGAATAATGATGATTACTTTTAATACAAGCCTTAACATTTTCATACATATTGCATAAAAGTGTACTCATTTTACCACTGAGACCGTGGGTATTAAATAGAAGCCAAAGTTTTTCGTTGTATTGAATCGGAAGCTTTTGAAAAATCTACAAATAATGGGTAGAATTTCCCCCCCCTTTAGAGTTTAAATACCTTTGAATAATACTTTGCATTATAAACATATTATCTACTGTCGTATATCCCTGTCTGAAGCCCGCTTGCGCTTCGCTGATCTTATCCATTGAGTCTCCCCAGTTAACAAGTCTTTTATTTACTACAGAGGTGAAGGTTTTACTAAATATGCTCAGTAGTGTTATGCCTCTGTAATTATTTGGATTATTTATATTACCTTGTGTGTGGCAGTGTAGTTCCAGTAGATTACTTGTATGTGGTGTGCCTTGGCAGTGGAGTCTCCAGTAGACATACTTGTATGTGGTAGTGGCCTTTCCTGTAGACATACTCGTGTGTGGTAGTGGAGTCTCCTGTAGACATACTCGTGTGTGGTAGTGGAGTCTCCTGTAGACATACTCGTGTGTGGTAGTGGAGTCTCCTGTAGACATACTCGTGTGTGGTAGTGGAGTCTCTCCTGTAGACATACTTGTGTGTGGTAGTGGCGTCTCCTGTAGACATACTTGTGTGGTAGTGGAGTCTCCTATAGACATACTTGTGTGTGGTAGTGGAGTCTCCTGTAGACATACTCGTGTGTGGTAGTGGAGTCTCCTGTAGACATACTTCTGTGTGGTAGTGGAGTCTCCTGTAGACATACTTCTGTGTGGTAGTGGAGTCTCCTGTAGACATACTCGTGTGTGGTAGTGGCGTCTCCTGTAGACATACTTCTGTGTGGTAGTGGAGTCTCCTGTAGACATACTTCTGTGTGGTAGTGGCGGCTCCTGTAGACATACTTCTGTGTGGTAGTGGAGTCTCCTGTAGACATACTTGTGTGTGGTAGTGGCGGCTCCTGTAGACATACTTCTGTGTGGTAGTGGCGGCTCCTGTAGACATACTTCTGTGTGGTAGTGGCGGCTCCAGTAGACATACTTCTGTGTGACAGTAGTGGAGCTCCCCTGTAGACATACTTGTGTGGTAGTGGCGGCTCCTGTAGACATACTTCTGTGTGGTAGTGGCGGCTCCTGTAGACATACTCGTGTGTGGTAGTGGCGGTCTCCTGTAGACATACTTCTGTGTGGTAGTGGCGGCTCCTGTAGACATACTTGTGTGTGGTAGTGGCGGCTCCTGTAGACATACTTCTGTGTGGTAGTGGCGGCTCCTGTAGACATACTTCTGTGTGGTAGTGGCGTCTCCTGTAGACATACTTGTGTGTGGTAGTGGCGGCTCCTGTAGACATCTGTGTGGTCGTGTACCGTGTGTGGTAGTGGAGTAGACATACTCGTGTGTGGTAGTGGAGTCTCCTGTAGACATACTCGTGTGTGGTAGTGTGTGGTACTTCTGTGGTAGTGGCGCTCCTGTAGACATACTCCTGTGTGGTAGTGGCGCCTCCTGTAGACATACTTCTGTGTGGTAGTGGCGCGTCCTGTAGACATACTTGTGTGTGGTAGTGGCGCGTCCTGTAGACATACTCGTGTGTGGTAGTGGCGCCTCCTGTAGACTTCTGTGTGGTAGTGGAGTCTCCTGTAGACATACTCGTGTGTGGTAGTGGAGTCTCCTGTAGACATACTCGTGTGTGGTAGTGGAGTCTCCCGTAGACATACTCGTGTGTGGTGCCCGTTAGTAATAACATTCTTCAACGAACTTGAAACAAGGACCTGTGAATCAATTGCAGTTCACGTCACCATGACAACAACGTGACACCTCGTTCCACGTTTGCACGTGCAACACGGATAAACTGATGGCAGGTCAAGTGGGTGTATCTCAGAGTACGTTGCCGATTCCGTTCGTTGGTATTTTTACATTTTGATGTAACATTTGGAGCTTTGGAGCTGAAACTCTGTATGAATGATCACATCTGTAGACATACTCGTGTGTGGTAGTGGAGTCCCCCCTGTAAACATAATTGTGTGTGGTAGTGGAGTCTCCTGTAGACATACTTGTGTGTGGTAGTGGAGTCTCCTGTAGACATACTAGTGTGTGGTAGTGGAGTCTCCTGTAGACATACTCGTGTGTGGTAGTGGAGTCTCCAGTAGACATACTCGTGTGTGGTAGTGGAGTCTCCAGTAGACATACTTCTGTGTGGTAGTGGCGTCTTTCCTGTAGACATAATGTGTGTCGTAGTGTATACACACTTGTGTGTGGTAGTGATATTCCACCTGCACATCTTCGTCACCCCTATAGACATGATGTTGTAAGACACCAGCCACGACAAAACATGTTGGGAAAATCAGCAAGTTATCGAAGGCTGTTCCAAGTCGGAAATGCCCGAGTATAAACGAATCATGCATCACTGTAAAGTGATACTGTATAATGAAGCTGTTGTTCCGTTTACAGAAAGACTGCGACACCATTCTGACCAAGTCCTGCTCTGACAACAGCGAGTGCTCATGTTATGGCTTCTACACATGCGCGGACCAGAGATGTGTAGCTGCGCAGTCCACCTCAGGTAATTGGTATCTGTTCACACACAACCCCATTCGGTACAACCAAGGGATACATCATCACCTTGGATACAAACAAGAGGCGTACACCTTGAATACAGCTTTTCCCTTATATCGGAGCTTTTGACATTTTCCAGTCGGTTTGAACCGTCATTTCCATTATTTTTATAAAACATATTCAGATAATTTGATGCGGATGTTTTCTTGTCGCTGAATGACTAAAAGTGACTTTTTCTTCGTTATGTATGAAACGCACTATCTGTAAGGCCTTGTATGGCATATGACCCTCTCGTAGAACTGGTTCTCTGACGCAGCATTGTCAGAGAACTATGCAATTAAAGCCAGACAATATTCCGAACGGTACACTTCCAATTTGGCGGCATCAGGGGAGGGTCGCCAAAACTCCTAACAGCCTCTGGTTTTACACAGCGATAAGATAAACACATGCGTGAGGGAAGGGTCACTATGTTCAGTTATATGTTTGTTGTATGTTTGTATGATTGAGCCTTGACATCAAGACAATCTAATCTTGACATCATGAACATTTAACGACTCTGTTGGGACACCATAATATACATCAAGCAATAGGTGTCTGGAACAAGTTCTGTCTTGAACCTTCACGCCATTACGGAACCATTGTGTTCTGTTCAATTAGTGAATCTGAAATATTTTATCTTACTCCCCCATCGCTTCCACAACCGAAGCTCACACCCACCAGTCATTGAATACGTTTGGATGAAATGTTTCTTCTCAGATCCCTATCTTATGTAGCTTTCCAGAAGCGCCACCCTAGCTGTTGCATTCAGAGAGGTATCTTTTGATAATTAAATTGTGAATATGAACGACACGGGTTCCCAGACCAATAAAGGTATAGATAACAAATATACGACGACAACAAGTCTCGCGAGACCCCGTTCGAAGAAGCTTGGCAAGATGAAATCTCATGAGATCCCGCCGGTTTAGCATAGGTGACACCTTATGAGATCAGACCACAGGGTCTTGTCTTGTCTTTGCTCTCTAACTGGACAATTATACACGGCTCTTATAAGACATATTTTGGTCGCGATGTCGCCATGCGTTGTTATGCCGTCCTAGAGATATGTTCCTCCTGAAGGTAACTCTTCTCATTCGAGGTATGCTCACCACACATTTGGTTGACGATGCCTGCCGTTAGTAGTCCAAACAGGGGTGCGTATAAACAATTGTTCACACTACCTGTCCTATCTTATTCGCATTTGAGTTGAAATAAGTTTGTGGTCCTCATTTTTTTGACACGTATTGAATCAAAACATGTGTTTTTATAACAAACAGCTTCTGACTTTGGCATTTATCCAGCTGTTTAACCAAGTAACACTTCTTTTTGTCTTGCGAAAAATTTACTAAATGATGACGAATTCTTTTTTACCACAACATCACCCAGTTGTGGAATCCGAGTATGGTCCTAGAGTCAGTTTACTGACGGCTGGAAGGAGCTTGTTGTCTGACTATGAATCAGAGTTAGTTCTTGAATGGAATTACGAGTGTATCACAGATATGTTAAGGAGCGGTTACGTGTCCGCATGGTGCCACTCGAAATATCGAGTGTCCGTTAGTAATTACATTCTTCAACGAACTTGAAACAAGGACCTGTGCAGTTCACGTCACCATGACAACAACGTGACACCTCGTTCCACGTTTTGCACGTGCAACACGGATAAACTGATGGCAGGTCAAGTGGGTGTATCTCAGAGTACGTTGCCGATTCCGATCGTTGGTATTTTTACATTTTGATTTAACATTTGGAGATTTTGAGCTGAAAGTCTGTAGGAATGATCACATCTGTTGTGGTATAATTCTGTCCGATTATTAAACCTTTGCCGCCAATATTGCCGCTTCTGATGTGAAGAATAAAATTTAGCAATATTTTGCCAGAGTTTTTTTCGATTGTTTTCAATGGACCTTATCACGTTTTACTAGTATTAATGCATGATTAACGCCCTTTTGAGCTCAAACTTCTTTTGTGAATCATCACAGCTGTTGGTGTTCAGTATCCACCCTATGCATGGCTGCCAATATGTCTTCATAATGGCGATCGGGGCCCAGAGGCCCTTTTGTACCAACGATATCGATATAGCATGAATGGGTGAGGTGAGGTTAAGTGGAGTTTAACGTCGTACTAAAGAATATTTCGCTCATATGACCACGTGCATGCGTGTGTATGTGTGGCTGCTTGTACTAGCCCAGACTTAGGCTGGTTATATACTGCTAGTTGACTGAGATACCACACCGCAGTAAAGCATGAATACCCCACTCAGGCACATTATACTGACTCCGAGTCGACCAGTCCTTGATGTACCCATTAATGCCGAGCGCCAGGCAGGGACCTGTATGAAGGGTGGTACCATGACTACATGAAGTGGGTTCTGCTAATTGTCATAGAAACAAGATGGATACCATCAGCGAACGACCCAACACAACCAGAAACTGAAGACATTTGTCTTGGCCTGGTGCAGTGCACGAAATTGCCACTGTCCCGCTAGCCCGTGGCTAGTAAATACAGTCCAGTTATAAAATGTTTTTAAATCATGCAAGATTATGGCCTGATAAAACTGTTCATCACATTACCAGCTTCATGATGAAAATGTCATGCCGACAATATCTTATTCTCATCTATTTTTGTAATCTTTTTGCTTAGTTTCAACATTCAAATTTCGGGCTAGTGAATTATTTTGTGTGCTTGTATCTTTCAAGCATAGCTAGCCCGACTGGCTAGCAAAATGTGGAAACTTGTTCGCACATGGGACTGGTGCCTAGCTGTATCGCGAGACGGCACAAAGTGCTAACTCATGACCCGCTCGAATAGATTTCTTGTACCTCCGCCTCATCTATAGGATTGTCGACGAGCCAATTCCTAAAGTGCCGGGAGTTTTTTGTACGGTTGAATATCAAAAGAAATTATACATCAAGAACGCTGATTCAAATAACCTCTAGAGGGTGTATTAAAAGTTGTCCGAATGATAAAAAGCTTCTTGAAATTAGTGTCTTTGTCCCAGGGATATACTTCATAAAACATAGATCAGTCTTAGTGAACGATAAACAGTCTACACTAAGTCAGTTGTGGCGTTTATACCATATACGTACTTAGGTCTACACTATAACAAGTCACGGAGAAAGATGTATCTGTGTTTAATGTTGTTCTTGGACAGTATCTGCAATGCTTAATACCATGTTCATTAAAAACGGTTTGTGGTGCCACGTCCCAAAACACTCCTCGCCCTTTCACCATATGTTGTAATACTGAGTCCAACCAATCAGCGGAGAGACTGTCTGTGAGTGTGTTGTTATGAGGCAATGTAACACGATGCTTTACGTTTATACAGAATGGTAAACGTCCTTTGATGGTTATTGGAAGTGTAACCTTGATTTTATGCTAAAAGTACAGTTATGACGGAGCAAAATGGGCCGCTATAATCGCAGACACATTTTGACGAAATACAATGATTTACTGTAGATAAGTTGAACAGTTCATGTCATTGTGAAACAGCGAACATGTGACATTTAGTTTAGTCGGTACAAGTTTTATATTGTCACAATGAAAAAACACTTCCTATTGGGATGATATCAGTTATTGCTACAACGATGTTTAAATATTCAACAGCACTATAATTAGGCGCAGCAACCATCGAGTCTGGACCAGACAAAACAGTGACTGATATCATGAGCAACAATCTGTACAACTGGGATGCGATGGCATTCATCAACCAAGTCAGCCAGCCTAACCACTCGATCCCTGAGTCTTAAGTCAAGCCTGGGTTACTGAAGATCAATTCTATCGCGGGTGTGCCGGATATAAATAGTAAAACTATTACACACTTGATATCAACTTATAGCCCTTTCGCGAAGCAAGTTCAACTACCGTACAAAAAAACTGTTTTGCCGTTCTCACGATGGCCGTAGAACAAAGACTGCTTTTGAGAAACGGGGCCTCGGTGCCCTTGTCAGGACGCGATCAAAGTGCTACGACTAATGTTACGGCAGGGGCAGTAGTACTCACCCTATCTCTTCGTGGGTCAGTGTTGGGAACTGATGCCTATATATACAACGACACATGATGGCGGAACTACATGACACGTCTTGATGGTAGGGTAATGACGTGAGGCTGGCCGACTGTTAACTCCGTCGATGGTTCCGGTTAGTCATTGTGAGTTGAGGAAGTCCGGCGAACATCTCAGTGCCTCATCTACTAATGCATCCCTTGCTGGACAGGGCTCATTCAGTGGACACATCTGTTGACCATCCAGCATCCAGACCATTACTTAGTCACGTCGGTCAAGAAGCCCTTACAACCCAGTTCTGTGTAGCGAATCTGTAATTGAAGTCTGAGATTATTATACGGGTCATTTTCAAAATTTATAGGATTTTCAATTCTTTATTACAGTAAAATCAAACTCCACAAGATTGATTTAATTTTTATTCAAATAAAATCTCAAACACTTAATTTAAAAAAAAATGCAAACATGCAGGCTCAATTTTACTAATGGGCCTTTTAATTGAAACATAAGTAATTACTAGGGTGGGGGAAGTCCTGACCGTTACCACTTCTTAATCAGAATAAGGATTTTGAAATATAATTCATAAAAATCTTTTAAAGAAGGCAGACACAGCTTTTACCCCGGCTTAATCAAACTTGAAGGTAAAAACTATTATCATGAATCTTGAAAGTGATATTTTGTATCTTTCATTTATTTACCACAAATAATAGCATTTTTCTAAAACATTATTATGTATTTAGCTTTCAACAGGTAGAATTGTCTAAAATAGACATCAGTTACTAAGCCCAGAACATCTTTTGATTACACCAGCATAATGAGGAGTGTTTCATGTATTATCATGAATTAATTAGAGCAGTCACTTAACACCAGTAACGGTTAGGACAATAGTGGTATCGGTTTGGACAGGAATGGTAACGGGCTGGACATAAACCTTAAACAATTTAATTCAACATAGAAACAGGTAACATGAAAGG